AGAAAATACTGTGGAATCATTATTGTTCGTGGGGGACCAATGTTCGTGGCTTTCGTGGGTCACCCTGAACCACGAATTTATACCCACACGAACGTATATACAAACAACTGTTATATTATTTGTTAAAAGTTACGATAACACAGACTATTTCATATCGTAAAATAACCGTTTCCTTTGTGTCCATGTCATCGCGCATAATGAAGACGATCTGTATGGGGTTATTGACAAAAAAATCAGAAAAAAAGTATCAAAGGAATTGATAACTATATACAATAAGTATTAAAATGATAAATATAAATGTTAAAAAGAAGTGTTTACATTATAGTCCAGCACGCTCAAATGCCCCTTCAATCAATCAAGCTTTTATTTGAATCTCTCCCCTTGATAAGGTCAATTTTCAGTGCGATTTTGGAGTGGGTGCTAATTAGCCAATTATAATTAGCATTAATTGGTTTCAGGGTAGACGTTCTAAGTCAACTTTGGCATTGTCCTCGTAGTTCTTCGCTACAGAGATTTACAAACCTGTTCCGCATACCACTTTTGAAAACACAATGTTCTTTATAATCGTAATTTACTGCGACAGCATGGCTGTAATTATAATAAGTTTGTGCAAGCGGGTACGTTTTTGTGTTCACAAGAGAGTTAAAGCTTAAATTAGAAAAATTGACGGATTTATCCTTTGTTTAAACTTTGGATCGATCTGAAAAAAAAAAGAACATGTTACCAACGAAATTACGTCCCCACGAACCAGGAAATTTTTGGCTACCCACGAACATTGACCCCCACGAATAAAAATGATTCCACAGTAAGAGGCAGACTTGACTGGGATTTGAACCCGGGCCCCCTGAATCTCCAGTTAGGTGCTCTACTAAATGAGGACCAAGGCCTGTGATGCTTATGCAGTATGTAGAGCATTTACATGTAAGTAAATGTTGCTGGGGTCCCAGGTTCAATTCCTGGGTCAGGGGCAATAAAAACTTCTGTCTTCTATGGCAAAGAAAATTTTAGGTGAAAGGAATGTAATGGTTTGGACCATGCAAAATGGCCATGTTAGCTCAGTTGATATTGCACTGACTAGTGATGCAGGGGTCACAGGTTCCAATCTAGGAGCCATTTACTCCTTTTCAGTCACAATTATAATATTCCATCTTATAGGTAGTGTTATTTATTGTAGAAATAATTGCACACAATTTCTTCTTACTTGAATAACATTGGGGGGGGGGGGTCTTAAACATCAATGAGTTCGGTATGTTCTTATATAACATAGAAATGTTAATTGGTTGATGTAATCATTGTAATGCATATTAAAATTGGTTTCTTCCATACAAGGGAGAGGATAAATCATACTTTAGTTTAAGTTTAATTATGCCCCATAATCAAATATTGGGGGGGGGGGGGGGTAAATAGTTTTTGTCCTGTCCGTCTGTCATTTATCCTATAACATTGTGTTGGGTTATGGCTTTCATATTTCATAAGTGTATTCCTTGTGACAAGAACTTTCTTTTAGTACCATAAAATTTGACCTCTTGACCTTGGATTTTGATCCACTTAACTTTTACAAAAAAATTACAGTTCCTTGGTCATTTCTTTTGAACATTTGGTGCCAGGGCTTTCATACTTAAAATGTGTTTTCATTGTTAAACCTTTCACTTGGTAAAATATTTTTGACCTTGACCATAGAAGTTTAATCTTGGCCATAAGTTTTGAAAAGTTATTACTATGGGCATTCATATTTCACAGGTGACAAGACCTTCCTCTTGATACTATTTTGACCTTTTGACCTTAACCTTGGAGTTTGACTTGCATTTGAGAAACTTCAACCTCAGCCATAAGCTGTCATAGGGAGGCATCAGTGTCTCACAAAAACATCTTGTTTTACATTGGTTTTGTGTAAATTGTAAATTTTAAACTAAAGAAGTATTATGTGAATTGGCATATAAGGTACTTCAAATAAATTTCCCATTAAAATCTCCAAATAACTGGTCTGTTGAATAATGAATAGCACTTATATGTTCCTATTTCAGTGCACCATCTACATATATACACATGATATTTGATTTTGTATTAATCCTACGTTTTCATATTTGTCAATTTTTTTCATATATTTATAATAATATTAAAACTTACACATGTATCAGTGCATGTGCCTGTACCATTTGAATATTGATCTGCCCATGCAGCAAGAGGGATTTGTTCCCTGAGTTTGAAACCAATTTTCAGACATTTTTACTTAACTCTTGAACAATTTTATATATTGTAATTAGCATACATGGTAATAATCAAAGTTGAAAATTACAAATAGAGGTTTTAATATCACACTTTTGGTTTATTTATTTTTTAGGATGAAAAGTCACCACTCGATTTAGCACCACCCAGTTTAAAGAGATCGTTACAAAACTCTGCTTCATGAAGGTCTTCGCCTCCTAAAATCCATCTGATGTGGAGACAACTCAAAACTCTAGTAGTATTTGTGATTACTGCTTTTGCCATTAGTGCTTCTAAATAGAGGACAAGACCACATACATGTATGTCTATTGAAATTGGAAAATATTTCAAACAGCTATAGGTGGACATCTGAAAGTGAATTACATGTATTATGAATGAGATCTGCATAATGATGTATTTTATGTATGTACATTTTGTATTAAATATGTTTATGAAATAAACTTATTGAAAATTGTTTTTTTTAATTTGTTTTATGAACATTAGGTGGTCATATTTCAATTATTTGGACACAATTAAATAATTTAATTTTAGTTGTAACAAGTCATTTGATTGGATAAAAGATTTAATACATTTTGTATAACATAACTTGCCTTCACAATGAGTTAACGGCAAAAACGTATTACTCCGCTTGACATTACTTTTAAAATATGCTAAATTTGAAGCCTTTTTCTGGAGGAAAAATTTTCTCATTGTCTACACTGAATTTGAATGATATGAAGCTTATTTCAACTTATAATCATATGATATAACATAACTTGGGGCAGTTTACGCTTTGTAAACCGCAAAACAGTTTATAAAAAAGACTAAAGTAACTGTCCGAAGTTATGTTATATCGTATAACAAAAGTTGAAATAAGCTTCATTCCTTAAATGTATAAAAGCATGACTTCGCTGTGGTGAGTTTGTTTGATGATTTGCAGGATTACCTAATTTGATATTTTATTTGACAATACTTTTCATTTAAAGGGGAAAATGAGAATGATTGGCTGCCATTAGCACTTGGTGTAAATATCGGGATGCGAGTCCCAGGACATGCTCCCCTGGAAATTTTCAGATGTACATAGCAAAAGTCGGCACTCTGAGAGCTTCGAAATCCCCCGCTTTGAGATATTTTTCTTAATTTTCAAAACTCACAGAAAAGTTATGTTTTACTAATTTTATGTTCTCAGTATAATGTCATCTTTAAAATATTTTATTTTACTGAATGTCTTATTTGATTATCTTTTTTTTCAATGTTGACAGTTATATAAGTATATTAGTGGAAAAACAATGAATTCAAATAAATACAGGAATTAAAAGTGTCAAAAATCAAACATTTAAAGATGTATTAACAATACAATTTTTGAAATAACTTTTCATGAACATTTAGAATTGAGATTTATCTTTTCTCAGAGTTGGGGATTGTCCACGCCTTCTATGCCTCCATTATTTTAATGAAAATATTCTATAGTTATTTTTCTAATTCAGCACCCACAGAGATGCCTGAAAGAGATTCGTTTGTAGACGACAATGACACAGAAGTAATGGATTTCAATATACAATTATTAGATAACATTCTCTCCTGAACATCAAAAAAACCATTAGTCATATTGATATGAATAAAAACATTTTATTAAGGCATTTTTCTTAATTTTATTATCATATTTACAGATAAGTTGTATATAAAAAATTCTGGACAAGCAGACTTGCATGCATGTTACATTTCTTAAAATTACGTGAATTTAAAATTATAAACAGTTTATATTAAGGAAAATATTATTTATTCACATATCCTAAAATAAATAAACATATTGTAGAAATAATCAGCACTTCAGCAACATGCTTTAATGCACAATATGGTAAAAAAAAAAGGGAACTGAAGGCAACAAGATAAAGAAAGAAGGCATTAAGGTAACTGAATGTGCAGCTTGGTCTCTTAATGTTTCAGAGATGTTTTTATATCACAGACTTTTTATTGTCGCTGTCCTAGGTTGTTATGTTGTTGGCAGATATATTGCTGCATTTTAAAAATATATTGGAAAGTCAAATTGACAATGAAACTATACATTAAGGCATCTACTTTTCAAGAACACTTCCAAACAATAATGGCCATATTTCCTCCAAAAAACATATAAAGTAAGTTTTTCACTTCATGTGTGATTTCAAAACCGTATCCTTCTCCAACAACTGCATGCCAAGAAGCACCAAACTTTTTATCCATTGTCTCCTTTATCATACGTGCTGCATTCTGAAATCAGTGAAAGTCAAAAACATCAATTTACAAGTACATATACTTTCACAGACAAAGATCATGATGATAAATAAACTAATTGAATTGATATTATTGTGTGCATAAAAGATAAACAATGTCATATACTGTGCAAGTTGCATGTAGATATTCTACTAGACTAGGCTAAGGGAAATCTGCATATCTACATACATGTTTAATGATGATTGCTCATAATACAATGTAAATTGGTACATATATGAATGAAGATTGTGCTACAACAAGTATAATTCTTGTCTTTGGAACTTAACTTATTTGTGTTCATTTTTAACAAAGTAAAATTTTCTGAAAAATCTTTTTTTTTAAAAAAAAGATTAAAAAAAAAAAACAAAAAAGCAAAAGCATTCAACACTTTTGCATACATGTGTACAACTGGAGACTGCCAGTTCTTAATAAAAAATAAATTTCAATCAAATATGTACCCTCAGTCAATCTTCTATCAATAACTTGATTAAGAATATGCATCTATGCTTTTAATCACACAAGGTTAAAAAAACCAGAAACTGTTCTTCTTTACTGTAGGGATATAATGCAGCTGTGGTGAGGGTCTTTTCTAAGTTTGACATTTGTACATTAAAGCTGAACACAACTTGTTATAAATAGGCATATGCAGTTTTCGATATTTTTACCCATGATATCGACACCATGGTATACTTGAAGGATTTGTTACACCCGACTGCTTTATTGTCACAGGTATCATCGTGGAATGGCAACCATGTTCGTGCTGGTTATGTTGCATTACCTTTGTTTATATTTTATTGTGGTTTCGTATATTTACGGCTTTAACCTGTACAACCATTATAAGTTTCTTTGGTATCTTACTTTTCTGCATTGCATTTAAGAACAACTAGAGTTAGTTTTGTGTAGTAATTTGAATAGCATATGTCTGTATATATATGGATTATAGTGTACACTCAAAAAGGTTTGTTTTGATTATTTTGGTATTATTCCCAGTGCAACAATTTTATATTCTAAGTTGGGCCCTTTTGCTACATTACAAGTATATGGGACGTATTCTAACTGTGGTGAGGGCCTGTACCGAGACACAGTTAGATTATTCTAACTAAGCAAGACCCTGAACAAAAATGGCAGACACATTTCCTTTAAGAATCGTGTTCAGCTTTAAAGATGATAAATTATTTGGCTAGGGTTGAGCATTTGTGCTTTACCTCATTGTTGGATGCAAATTTTTCGCATGCTGTTACACACAGTTCCATTGCCTCTGTCTTCATTTCGTCATTCATGTCTGAGTGCTAAAAAAATAATAAGAATCTTATTAGTCCAAAATGTTAATTTAATGACTAAAATTTATTAACAAGAATACAGTAAGAAAAAACATCAAATACAAATAAATTACAAAAAATGAACAAAATTGTGCTGAGAGATTTGTGTTTTGTAGCTTTGGAAACGAAAGGTAAATCCGAAATTCCTCGAATTAAATTTTATGTTTAAACTGTCCTATCACCATCAAAAGAAAATAAGCATGCCCTTTCACGTCAGTATATTACTAGGCATATAACATAATATGAGAATTATAGAGATTTCAACACAAATAGTTTAACAATACTTTTTTTTCATCCATTGTTTTGAATTTTGATTCTGAACAAATATTCAAAATATTCGTTTCGGAAACCTAAAATGTGGAGTCGAAATGCAAAACTTACTCGGATTAAAGGGTATGTGTGAACTCTCTTTGATTCTGGCTCTTTCTTCTGTTCTTCTTGTTCTGCCATATTTTCCTATATAAATAAATCTATCTGCAAAGATTTTTTTTCAGCTTTCACAGACAACCGTAACCAAGTACTTGACCGCATGCGCGTTCAAATACTATATCCGGTGTGTCTAATATCGGAAAATAGAGGTATAATGCAGATTTGTTTTTCCCGATTAGTATTTTTTCCCCAATTTTCCATTTTTAAAATACCATTTTCTCCTTAATTTCCGACTTGACATCATATGAAAATTTAACAAAAATACAAAAAATACAAAATATTTTATTGGCACAAACACAATTACAGTAATTGGTAAAGGCCCATAGAAAACATAGTGATAAGCATGAAAATACAGTAGAACACAACTAGAATACAAACAATTTTTTATTATTGTACTCATAAAATACTATATAAATACATACATATGATTCAGTTCAATGTAGTTACTCATTTATAGCTAAAATATTTTTTCTTATATCAGATATTTGACATAAAAATGATGAAAATATTTTAAGAACCTTTTTACAACTAGTTTTCATCAATAGTTTTTAACAATTTGTCATTATTATGGATTGTTTGGTTCAAGTTAGGAAAAGTAGATAGTTTTGTTTTGAATATCTTTCTCTGTGCTTCATATTTTGGACATAGCAAAATGAAATGTTTTTCATCCTCAATATTAAGATTTTGACATACTTTACATATCCTATTATTTTTATTAATTTCAACATATTTAACTTATTTTATCCTAGTGACATCCCTAATTTTTTTTTATTTTACAGTCTCACGGTAGTTTATTCTCTTTTGAGAAGTTGGACAGGCTTTTGCCTACATCCATATGTCCACTTCTCTCAAGCGAATACCACACAGGTATTCACAAAATCTAGCCACCCATGGCGCTGCTTCCTACATTTGCCCCCTTGAAGAGCTGGCCTGGCTACACACCCCATACAGAAAACCCAGGTGTACCTGTCTTTTGGGTAGATGTTTCCAAAGCATCTCTCAGCAAATGCTCATTTCCAAAACGCATTTTGAGAATTTCTTGATAACAACCCTGATAATTTATGCTGATAAGAAAATCACTTTTTTACCACAGAAATCGTCCTGGTTGTATCAAGTTTTTCTCATTAAGCACACGGGTACTTGTGGACAGGACCCCCCCCCCACCCCCCATACACCCCGGTCATTTTTTTTCTTCTCATGAATAACTTAGTGTGTTTCTACTACTCATTTACAATGTATTCCATATGAAAAATCCAAATCATAACACAGATTTAACGATTTACTAAAAGTCATACCCTGGTATTTTATAACTATACATGTAGTTTAAAATAACTATTATAGTTTTCATGACTTTTTTTTTTAGTAAATCGTGAAATCTGTGTTATGTTTTGGATTTTTCATATGGAATACATTGTAAATAAGTAATAGAAACATAATACTCGGGAAATAGTTTCCTCCCTCGGGGAACCATAAATTTGCTATTTCCCTCGTACCCATTCCATAACTGATTACTATTTCCCCGAGAAGAGACCACTACCCTCAACTGAAGACTACTTTCTGGAAAATCAGAGCTACTCCCTGGGACTACTACCTCATGAATATTTATTAGTAATTTTAACCAATCAAAGTGTTCAGTAGGCGGAGCGTCAAGGAATCTCGAGTCTGTGATGTTAATAGCAATGTAACTATAACGTCAAAACATTTCGACATGCGATGCCAAAATCATACTTGAATTTTAGCAAAATGAAAACAACGATAATTCTTCGAAATGTCAGTGAAAATACTTTTCAAAAATAATTTAATGTTTTAGGACACGATGCATTACTTATCATACAATGTGTTAAACCGCAAATTATACTTAACACCGAAAACAATCATTAGCGATTGCAAAACATATATTAGCTGATAAATACAGTTTCACGATTTGTAAACTATGGTTTACAACTCTTAAGGTGCGGTCACACGATGCGACTTTTCATCAGATTTTCCATCCGATTTTTCCATCCGATTTGCTTTCGACTAAAATCTTACCGTGTGACCATCCAAGTCGAAAGTCGAAAGCAAAGTCTGAAAGTCGTTTGGAAATCGGATGGCCGTCAGATTTTCAATCGACTTTCTGAAGAAAATCGTGACGTCACAATGACATTTCCCGCGACACGAAATTAAAAAAAAGTGTAAAATAATAAGAGTTTTTAACTTTTTATATTTAAATACATCTCTGTACTGAAATAAAAAGAAAACTCCAAAAGAAAAAAATTACTAGTACATGCATACAAAAAATATCTTCAACAATAGTTTGCAAGCACGGAAATTCGTGTCTTTATTGTGCATTTATGATTTATCACAAATATTTTTTCGCTTATTTAAAAGCTGAATTTAATAGATTACACTTCATTCAATTCATGAATATTATCAAAAATGAGGGTATTTTAAAATTAGCATTCATTGAACATGTTACTGATTAAAATTAAGATCTTTCACGCATTTTTTTTTATATCGCTGTTAATTACTACCGGTATCTTCAAAAACATAGCAATTATGAAGTAGAATCCCCAAGCGACAACTTCATTCTGTACCTGAACTTCCGAATTCTAGAAAATTAAAGTTACAAGTTTTAAATAAACTAACGAATAATTTTTATATAAATCTTAAATAAGTTTCTAAACTTTTGAGGGCGAACCCTTTAATTAAAATACATGCGAATACAACGTATCACATGTACATTAAACTAAGTGATCGTATTATTTGTATATGCGTCAGAACCTGGAGGGAGTAGCCCCCCTCCCCCACTTTTTTTAGAGACATAATATAGGCATTAAACATTTATACATTGAGATGTAGGTTTATAGGTTTAGCCCCCCCCCCCCCCTTCAAGACGCAAGTTGAATTTTAGCTAAGAGGTAGGCCTAGTGTTTGTAAAAAAATGACACTGAAAGAAATTCGAGCCCCCCCCCACCCCCCACCCCCAACGAAATAGGGTTTTCGTATTTGATCAATGGACACATTTTTTTTTTGGCTTGTTGACCAAGTTTTGCTTGTAAGTTTGATTTTTTCTCTTTAACTTAGTCCGGTCCCCTTTCAATTTGCTTCCGATGTCAATGATTTGGGAGGAGAAGGGGAACTCTTATTTCTCTTTCTCATTTTGTTCTACAATAATCAGCAGTAATTCCCGTAAAAAATTTCAATAATCAGTTAATTTACATACTCTCAGTAGAATTTATACTTTAAAAAAGAATTATTATTTTTAATTATATTATAAAGAAAACAGTTTATCCTTTAAGTAACTACACAATATTAATTTTGTTCCGCTTTTATTAACTGTTGAAGAGCGTCTTATAAACTGTTTCTCGCCTATTCATTTATTTTTTTTTTTCATCAACGGCTAGCCTATCATACAAAGTTAACTTTTGTGATGCATATTATTTCACCTTTGTTGGTAGACCAAAATATATTGCAGATTTTTTTTGCCGAAGTAGAAAGTAATAAACTTCGATTGATTAGCTACTTTTGAGTGATCATTGACATGTGTACCGTGTACACTACGTCAACATCAACGTCATAATGGGGTAAAATGACGTAATATTAAATTGATGGAAATTGTCTTCCCATTCTTTTTATCCCGACAGAACAGAGACGTCTTTGTACAGAAATATATGTACTTCTATCTAAAAAGTAATAACAAGTACCTGTTCATTTCTTGCTAAAATCGTTTGTAAATCGATTGTAAAATCGGATCGTATGACCACCCCATCAATCGACTCCATTCGACTTACCTGAGCAAGTCGAATGAAAATCGGATGAAAAATCGTGTCGTGTGACCGCACCTTTAACTATAGCTAACGATTTAATAAAAATATAGTTTCACAATTTGTGAAACTATGATAAACAACTCTTAACTTTAGTTCACAAGGGAGGAAACTATTTCCCGAGGTGGCGAAGTTTCCTGCCGAGTGGAACCATAAAATTGCTATTTCCCGAGTTCCAATTCCATAACTGTTTTATTATACCGAAACAATCATAGGCAATTTAATTTTTTTACCAGATATTCCGACGTTAAAAAAACAAAAGTAGATGCATTATTATGCATGCGGTTTAACGATTCGTTAAGTATAGTTTTCATCTGTAAAACTATATTTAACGGTTGTTAACTATAGTTTACGGTTTGTAAATTATAGCTTACAGTCGATAAACCTAGTTTATCAATTGTGAAACTAGGTTTATCTCATTTTTGTGAATTTGGCGTGCCATATGAAACATATATTATCGCGTTAACTACTAAGTATATGGTTTACAGATGTAAAATATAGATTAACGTTGTAAACTATAGTTTACAATCCATAAACTATAGTTTACAACCGATAAACATAGTTTATCGATTGTGAAATATGTTTTAGCTCATTTTTGTGAATTTGGCGTGCAATAGCTTTATACCCATGATCTTCCTTTCTTCCCTTCATGAGGAGCTTTACTGACAACTTCGTCAAAGTGGCACGCACTGCTGAAGTCTAAACCGCCGTTTCTTAAGTTTCTTTTGTTTTTATGTGGCTCAGCTTGGTTGTCTTGCTTGTGAGATTATCTTAATTAACTTGCTAAAAGATGTCTTGGCATGGCTTATACACTGAAACGATTCATGTAGCTGTGGATTGACTGCTCTCACAAGCAGCTGCTTCCTACGTATACTGCCCCTGGGTTTGCCATTTTACAGCTTTTAATTTTGTTTTAAAAATCAACTATGATCAATTTTTGGTAATGTAAAGAAGAAGTTCCCTATTGAATGTCTTAAGTGGCTAAAAAGTTAAACTAATTATATTGTCTGGAAAGAATAGGTACCGGTGAACTTGATTTTTAAAAATTATTTTAGAAACAAAATAAGCCTTTTGATGATCTGTGTAATTTTACTGTAATTCATCATAAAGAATAGGTTTAGATACAAACGATCTGATTTTTTTTAAAGTGTCTACTTCAATGTAATTGATCAACAGATTGCGTTGTCACTAAATTAAAGGATTCGTGTAAAAATTTCACAGATAACAGGATACAATCAGTTAAATGTCTGCAACATATGGTAGATAGCATTGTACAGCATTTATCTATATAAGTTCAACTTTCTGATTAATATTGCACAACAATATCCGACAAATATAAACCACAGAGTAAGTAATATTTTAAATGTAATAATTGAATTTCCGACAAATTAATTTTTATATTCGTACTTTTGCAAATTGTTATCTGTAACAATAGTGTAGAGTGTAAACTGTTCATGAAATGATATCTCTATCCTGCATTCATTTATACTAGTATAATGGTAAATTTCAATTCCTTGTAACATGAAATTGAGATTCTATTTAAGTTCATTTAGGAGTTTAACAGAGTAATGCTTTTAGGGGTTTCTTTATCCAAATACAGTGGCAGTGTCAATATCAATGTTTAGCTACTCAAGTATTAGAATCCCCAAAATTCCTCCGACCATAAATAGGAAAAAAAAAAAAAAAAAAAAAAGGAGATGCACATTGGCAATATGGAATATATTCTGTAAAATATTCAGTATAAGGATATGAGATGCATGTGTGCTGCCTTTAATTTTCCATGTACGTTTTCTTTATAAATATGTGAAATACCAAAATACCTCTTTAGTGGAAACGTACATAGGTGGTGCAAAATAGCTCACTGTAATTAAGGTTCAGTGAATTTTATTTATACACGTAAATTGAATTTCAGTGATTTTAAATGGGTATCCATCTCTTATCCGCATCGCTGAAAAAAAATCATCGAGTCTTTAATTTACAGATCCTAGCTCAATTAAACTTATTGTCTTTGCCATAGGATTTCCCATAGAAAAAACACTTACGAACCCCGCCATACTAGCTATAAAATTGGGAGAATCATAACTTAAATTACCGACAGCCCCTTCTATATTACTGAATACTTTCTCTGTGTTCTGAGTCACGAAGACCTTGTTCCTTAAAAGCAAAAGAAATGTTATATATGCAACGATCATTTTAATGGAGGTTCATACAATGTACATGTACACAAACGCGCAATATTCAATTTATTTCAATGGCAAAGACCACTACACAATAAAACCGTAAGTACAAATTTCAAATATGTTATTGTATGTTTCAATATCTGTATCTTTGATATTTACAAATATTTAAGGACCCTTCTGACAGCATGAAGGCGAACAACGTCATTCTCGCTTTCTTGGTGGCCTTTTTGTTTTCAACTGTTTCTTGCACCTGTCCAAGTCGTTGCTACACCGCCAGTTCTACATGTATCAACAACTGCTACAACACCATATCAAATATCATCAACAACATCGGTAAACGTGACGTCAATGATGCCAAACTGCGTCAAAGAAGATCAAGTTGTTATGACATGTGTCAAGCCATGTACAAAGCCTGCTGTGGAACAAACTAAAGGAACTGAAATTTTGCCATTATTGTAGTGGTCTTTTGGTCATTACATTGTCTAAGAGCTATTTTAAAGTTTTTATCAAAACATAAGTTTATGTATGATGGGTTGAGTTTTATTTCTGGTTTTCAATACTAGTATGTCTATTAGTGAAACGACGAATAGATTATTATTGAAAGTCAAATCAACAGAAAGAATTTATAAAGAGAACCAAACATTTGGTCATAACACTGGTTTGACTAATGATAGGATCAAGTAACGAAATGTAGTTTTCTTACAGAATTGAAAGCATAGCTTTATAGAATGCTTTTTCCAGGTACTCCGTACATTGCGTTTTTAAACAATACCAGACTAGAAGGACGATCTATATGCAGCAATTATCATTATATATTTCCATTTCTAATTTTTCTCTCTGTGATAACTCTTTGAAAGTTAGCGGATTTAATTTCTTGATAATTCTACCAGAATGTAAATTAGGCAGGTCAATAGGTCAGGAGCTAAAAGGCCTAATATGCATGCATATCTCGTGCGCAACTGTCTCTGAGTCTGACGCTATGGAGGCCAAATATGTATGAAAATCTCGTGCGGCTGCCGTTGTGTTTGACGTCAGTGGGCGAGGATTATTGAAATTGGGAAGGGAGTCCTCGTGTAATTTAACTCTATGTCTGCATTTTTAAAGTCTAAATCTACAATTTTATTTCACAATGAAATGGAAATATAAGGAATCACTGTCTAGTTAGTATAGTATGCCAGGGACATCAACAATAATGGGAAACATGGGATAATTTCTGCATAACGGGCGAAGCCCGTTATGCAAATTATCCCATGTTTCCCACTATTGTTGATGCCCTGGCATACTATGCTAACTAGACAGTGATTCCTTAATAAAACATTATTCCTTGAAGATTTATGCATGTTTTCTCAAATGATGACCAACAAGAGTTGCTCACTATTTCAGTCATCTTTTTGTCCTTTTTAAAAAAATTGTATCTCTCAATTTATTCGATACGCAAGAGCATGCTCTACGTTTAAAGGATTTCTAAAACGAAGACAAGCAAGTTGATGAAACAAGAATATCAACATTCTCGTTTAAATTGGATCAGAATAAATCACATAGTGATATTGGAACCTTCTAATCGGACTATATCTTAGCCACTGTCCTATTTTAACGATTCGGTGGGATGGATACACCTTTCGGTTTTCAATAACAAAACATGACCTTGACCATTCTTTCTATAATTTTAGAGTAACCTGTCTCGAATTCCTATCAGCAAATGAAAAATAAAATTGTGATCAAATTATGAATAGCGAAACAAATAGAATATAACAGAACATTTCTTACTCTGATTGAATATTGCACTCAAATACCGCGGAATAAGGATTGCATTTCCTGTTTATCTCAGTAATTCTTTATCAGTAACGAAGTGCGGAATATCCTAAAGATAATATGTATGACGAATTTTAATGTCGCAATGATCCCTCTTAAATAGTATATAAGCACGTCCTTTTAAACTCTATATTCACTCTGAAGACAGGAGAGAAAATTCATAAACAGATATTCAAAGGTAAAGACAGTTGTTTGCAAATCAATCATATTTAGAGTATGTTAAAAATTACATATAAATTAAAACAACCAAACAGCTTAAATTAGGCAACAATCAGGCATTTGATATAAGAAAAAGTCCTGCATAAAATAAGTTTTTGTTAACGTAATGCAAAGATATGAATCGAAAAAATGAGGGTGTTTTTAAAGCAATGTGAGCTGCAAATTCGAAGTCGGAATTTTTGTTGCAAAATTGTAATTATGACTATTTCATTGACAGCAAAAATAACATTTATAAACTTCTGTTGTTCATATTTGTGATGGATGAACTACCGGTATTTATAAACTTTGATTGAAGCAAAATTACATTATTGTCATCCTGTACAATATTGACTTCTTATATAATACTACACATTACCCTGTTCAGAAGTCTTACTTCTGAAAAAAAAACTTTGTTTTTGTCTAATTGATCATAAATGTTTAAATTACAAGCAACTGTTTCATAATAGCACGTTTTAACAGCAAATAAAATTATTAAAAATACAGCTCATATTGCTTTAAGGATATTATATACTCGAAGTATCAAGTACATAATATTTTGAAGAATACTCATATAAATTTTACTGTAATACAAGAATTTGTGGACTTGAAATGTTTTCAATTTATTGCTAGTCCATTTAACTAACTCTTTTATTATTGATAACTAATATCTTGAATTCATTGATCAAGGGAAATAAGGATTTGGGAGGTTCCGCAGAATCATTTTTTTTTCATTCATATTTAGAGCCCAATTTGATTTATTCATATATATTTTAACATTCCCACTTTGTTTTTACAGTTTCAATTATACCCATCCGACACTATGAACAAATCAAATTTCGTTCATCTGTTTCTGGCTGCTTCCATTTTTACCATTGTTCTATCAACGGAGTCCACCTGTCCCAGTCGTTGCTACACCACCAGTTCTACGTGTATCAACAACTGCTACAACACCATATCAAATATCATCAACAACATCGGTAAACGTGACGTCAATGATGCCAAACTGCGTCAAAGAAGATACAGTTGTTATGATATGTGTCAAGCCATGTACAAAGCCTGCTGTGGAACAAGCTAAAATTCTTGATATGGACTAGGAGCCATTTTGTTCAACAAATTTTCTGTCCAATGTTTTAAAATATATCACAAACAAATCAAATGTAAGTTCTTATTTTGTAAATAAAATGAAGAATAATTATGATAAGGGGGAAAACAAGGTTCGTAGACTGATTAAAATCAAACCTTCCACTAGCCAAATTATATGATGGTCACACGATCACCAAAATAAAAGGAGCTTGTGGAAGGTTTTATTTTAATAAGATTGATAAACTTTGATCAATCTCAATACCGCTTGTTTGAAGAGGGAATATACACGGGCTCAAGGAAATTCCAGAGGCGGGATCAGATGCATAGGAGAAGGGAAGATAACACAAAACCTTGTCTATTACCAACAGCTTCTTATGAAAATTATTTTAAATAAGATAATACAGTACACTGTACCTATTTATTGTCTAAGTTTGACTGTTTTAGACTCCGCAACCTTAGATAATGTTTAATTATTTGGTTAAATAAGGACGTAAGATTCGCCACTCATTCCAATATACGGTATATATGGTACAAAAAAAACGTTGTTGCTATGTTTACTTAACTTTGTGTGGATTTTTTTCAAAACACTTTTTGTCAAATTAATGGTTCAAGTTTTCATACCAGATGCCATTGTTTTCATACTGAATTGTCTGATGGTATTTTCGTTATCTTGATCATGTCAAGGAGCACATGACAGGATTGACCTGTTAACAGGGGAGTTTTCTCCTCCATGACATCTGCTTCAACTTTTAATGTTTAAGAGGTCTCTGTTTGCTCTGCTTCTATTTAATCCATATTAATAATGATAATAATCCATATTTCATCATAAAATACATAAGGACCCTCTCTACACCAGTGTAAAATTTGTTTTGGACATTGAGAAAAATGTATTCTATAAAGGTGTTAATATTGAGCTTATAGATTTAATTTTCAATATATGGTATACGTGGCATTTGCCCCAAGAAAAAATAATCAAGCACAACACAGTATCAGTTAATTGAAATCACTGTTGTTTACTTCCAAGGAGAAAATACATGTAAATAACACGTTCAATTTATTTATCTGGGACTTTTGAAATGCTAAGAATACTTGAATTGATTACATATTGTGTAATATACTGTGAATTTAATTTTTTTAAGATTAAGATCTAGTGACATATCACTCTAACTGCAGAGAAATACTTTAGAATCAAAAGTCCCTAGTGTGCAGTGTAGAGAGGGTTCTTACGCAAATAAGTCTAATGAAAGATTTCTGATGAAATATATAATATTGTGCCTTCATTACGTAAGAATTATGCAGAAATGCCAATCGCATGGTGTGTAAATTTGTAAACGAGGGAAAGAAATCCTCTAAAATAACAACGAGGTTATAAATGGCCTGATATTGTGGTCATTGACAAATGTCATAAAACATTGTAAATATCACATGGTTCAAAATATTCAAAAGAATATTCTTGTGATATATATGAAAGCCCAACCCCCTAACCATTAAAATGTTGTGACCAATGTTAAAGTATTTTTTAAAATGTTGTTCATACTCCAAGGTCAAAGGGTCAAATTAAAGGTGCAAGGTTATGTCCAAGGATACAGCCGTGACAATGTTTCAATCTTGGAAAAAAGGAAAATACTTGTGTATATTATCAAGACAATGAAAAATATTTACTGTGCAGTCAAAGTGTTCATTTGGTGTTGCGTATGTACAAGTATGGAGATAACAAAGAATAATTAAGCTCAAAAGTCCGTTAAATATTACAAAATTGGAGCAGAGCAGACACGGACATCTAAATCATCTGAGGTGGGATCAGGTGCCATGGAGGAGTGAGCATCCCCTGCCGACCGGTTACACCCGCCGTGAGCTCGTTGTCATGATCGGGAAACACCGTAAATATCCGTTGACAATTCAGTGTGTAAATAATGGCCTAAGAATATCTATGAAAAATGTAAGTCACATTTGATTTCATTGTAAATGTTATTTGCTGACAAGTTCATTGTAGAACTTACGAATTGATGACTTTAAACGAGACTGCTGATATTCTTGTTTCAGCGTCTTATTTGTCAATAATTTACCACATTTTAGAAATTGATACACGTACGTTGTGCATGCTCCTGCGTATCGAATAAAGTGAGAAATCTAAACCCCGTATGCAGGTGAGGAAGGTATCTTGCTGAATAAGTAAGGGAAGTTGAAAAGCTTGAGTCATCACATTTATCACAAATCT